CATACATACATATATTCATACAATATATATATATATATATGCATACGTACATACATACATACATACATACATACATATATACATGCATACATATATACGTACAGACATACATACATACTTACACACATACACACACATACAACTGAATCTATCCATGCAGACGGACCCCTATACGTAACAAGCTGCATATACACATACACACACGCACATACGACTCTAAACCCTCAACGCCCCCCCCCCCCCACACACATGCATATACACACTTGTAGAGAGACTTGAGATTGTGGGCCGTGTAACTCGCATTGTACGGCCTGTCAGGTGCAACAACAGGCTTCGCATTGGCAGTACCAGTGGTACTACTTGCGCTTGGTTTAGAGCTGCTGCGTTTAGCCTTGGCGTGTTTGGGTGTTCGACTGGCACCGTCACCGTACGCATAGGCGGCCTCGCGTTTCCTGAAGATATCTGTGAGTGTTGTGTATGGCGTGGGGTATTAAGTGAGCGCAGATATATATATATTTATATATATATATATATACATATATATATGTATATGTATATATATGTATATATATATATGCGAAATACATTCAGGTAGGCGTGGGCTCTGCCCATATAAATCTCAGGTGTGCGTGAATAGGTATGTGTACACTTGCTGTATGTGCGCACTGGCTTATTCAGTTGCTCGGAGGTTGCGTGTGAGTGTTCCAGAGCCATTGTGCTGCCACTATTCTCTGTACTACAAAAATACCTACCTACACCTACCACCACCTTTGACTCACCGTATCCCTACCTTTCTATACTACATCCATTCCTACGTACATCTACCCACACCTCCTACCCACTGCATACCTACCTTTCTGTACTACATCTATACCTATCTACATCTACCCACACCTCCTACCCACTGTATACCTACCTTGCTGTACTACATTTATACCTACATACAGCTACCCATATCTTTTACCCACTGTACATCCACCTTTCTACACTACATCTACACGTACCTATACCTGCCCACACCTCCTACTCACTGTATACCTACCTTTCTGTACCAACAGAGCCCCGTCGTCCGGACCCACAGTCAGCACCACCCCCTCCAAGAAGGCTATGCGCTGACCATTAACACTGCCTACCACCTCAGGCACGCGCATGCACACATACAGCTGAGATTGAGTAGGTCCCTTGTCGCCAGGTGATGGTCGTCTGTTGCTGTGCTTGCCTTTGGCTGAGGGGAGCGGGTGGTGTTTGTGTGAGCATTGGTATACTATAATATCGGAACTTTGTAAAAGGCATAGAACGATACTATCGGATGTTTGAAGGCATATTACGATACTATCGGATTTTTTAAAAGCCATATAAAGGTACAGATTACGGGTTGATACCACTCATGATTCTGTTTTGGTTGAGTTAGTTTTCGTCACGTTTCGTCGCAGCATACTGACCAGAATACGTAAACTCGGCATACGTACAAAATCCAAGCATACATTTATGAAACAGATACAAAGATACGAATTATAGTTTTATCTCCCGCACGAATCATAACTTCATCACTATCGGTCTTTTCAATAGATAGGAATGCGTTCTTAACACCCAAAGTACGTTTTCTCTGAATAATTATAAGGTACAAGCATGCATCAAATGAGCCATACTAAGACCCAAACTACATTTTACGGTTTAATATACATACAGGCCATTCCTTCATCGCCGGTCTTGATCTCTCCGTCCAATAAACTTCGAATACGTAAAAGGTACAAGCATGCATCCATTTATCAACCATACTAAGATACTAAGGTACTACGATACATACTACGGTTTCATATACGTACAGGCCATACCTTCATCGTCGCTCTTGGACCCTCCGTTAAGCAAAGGCGAGTCATGCGTAGGTGTCCGCAGTTGAGGCGAAGTGGGGGTGGGCGGGGGAGTGTACGCTTGGTGTAGGGGCTGTGCGCGTGTACACAAAGACTGTGAGTAGTGGCGGTAGCTGATGCTTACATAGACAAATAGGCACAAAAGTATGCGTATGTACCTGTATAAACAAGAATTTATATTTATATATATATATAAATGTATATATATATATATATATACCTATACATACATACTTACATGCATGCATTCACACACACACACACACACATATATATATACATATATATATATATATAATATACTATATATACTATATGACATAC